GATTCGGCGTGAGCGAAAACATCTGTCCCGAAAAAAGCCGCCGGGGTTACGGGCGGGCGCGCACTCTATGCAAATTAGATGGGCGCGCGCGCTCGCGCCTATTTATAAGTAATATTATGCGTAGCTATATATGTATATGTGTGTGAGTATTGGGTGTGTATGTGTGTGTGTGTGTGTGTGTGTGTTGGGTGTATGTACTCGCCAGGCAGGGCAGAGAAAAGGAGGGCATCTACTACTACTTTATACACTCCATAATTACGGCCGAAATTTGTTTGGCAGTCGCTGGCACATGAGCCGCAACGGATAACTCAAAATGTTGTTATTCCAAACAAACTGCAAACAATAACAATCACGCATAAAATATACAAAGCCAGCAGCGTAGCGTCGCAGTCGCAGTCGCAGTCGACGTCGACGTCGACGTCGGTAACAACAGATTGCCATCATCGCGCATACGCCGCGTAGTTGCCCAGAAAAGAGAAGACTAATACAACGAAATTGGATATACACTAACTTTAGGATAGATCTACATACAAAGATAGACATCTAAACGAATTGTCTATATATATATATATACATGTATATACATATCAGAGTATATGTATATATATATCAGTTTATGCTGACCAACTGACGGACTGAACGATGATCTATGCAGAGCCTAAGCCTTATGTGGCTCATAAGCAGGCAATAGAGAGAGGGGAGGGGGGGAGGGGGTTTGGCAAATTCAAACACCAAGAACAACTTTTATTTAGCACACCGAAGACTAAACACCCTTGTAGGACTTACAGAATTGCAGTGTACGTAATTTGCTCGAGTTCGATTCTGACCATAAAATGTCTGCTATCTGTCATATGCTATATGCTACTTATATGATATATATGTTAATCCGATATGTAAACAACATGTTGAAGCTGATTAATGCCAAATTTGCTTGAAAACCAAAACAGATCTCTATGCAAAATCTTAATTCCTATAGGCTCAGATAGAAAGGAGCACTAATAGGAAATTCCCCGTAAAGACAAAAGTTTATATTAAAGCTATGTAAGAAATCAAAGGCAGATAAATTGCATTATCGAAAAGTCTAATATAAAACTGTGAATTGGTTGTTTGTTTATAAGCTGTAATGCTTCAACTTTCTATATACATTATGAATCAAATACATTGTCCGAGCAGCTAATTATATAATAATATAAAAATAGGTTCGGCAGCTTGACATGGAAACGATTTTGGGGGGGCCCCGGCATGGATAATGTCCAGATTGAGCTGATGCGAATGATCCGATGATCCGATGATAGACACTATAGAGTATCCTAAGCTATGGATACACTCGGAAAGAGTACAGCATACAATGCAAAGCAGCACATGGCGCGCGTGTGTGTGTGTAGACATTGTGAATGTATTTTGCATACCTTTGCATACTGAAAACAAACACTATTATACCGTCGCCATTATGCGCAGATTGATGTGCGTTCATCAGGAGTCGTTCCGGCATCGAACATCAACGAGAGAAACACTTGCCCCAAACGGTGGCAGGGCGTATGGGATGGTGAACGATGGGCGTGGAGAGTGCGGCAACTTTGGGAATTGTGGGAACGGTGGGTACTGCGGGAACTGTTGGCCCGATTGTCGGTGTGCCTGGCAGGCATTCATTGCACGCTTCGATGACCCGATAAAAATGTTGCTGATGTTTGGCGTACTTTTCATAATGCTGCCGTCTCGAAGGCACTTTGATTTTTCTATTACGCATTGTGAATTGATGCGAGCCAGGTGAAACAACAACAACAACAACAGCAACAGCAGCAACAGCAACAACAATAAAAGCCAACAATAACAATTTACAATCGCTGGCAACATTATCAAATGCTTAACATAATCAAAATTCGCATTCCATTCAATTCAATTCTGAATGTGCCGCAGCGATCTGGCTCTATATTCAAATTAATTTGCATTCTCAAAATGTTCTTCAAGTCGCATTGAGCAACTGAAAATATTGTAGCTGCTTTAAAAAAGATTCAAGATTCTTGTGAGCTTCTGCGATTTGCCAAGCTTTATACAACACTTTCTGACAAGCGATTTGTCTTTCTCCAATCACAAGTTCTTTGCGTTCTACCAGATTTTACAGTTTCTTCTATTGAAAACAGTAGAAATAAGTTTAAATACAATTTGCACCAAATTTTTGATTTTGGAAATCGATCGATATATAGTTATCCGATGCTGATAAGATATATCATATATATATATAGGGAGCATAGGGAAACCTATAAGTGCCGAAAAGTTGTTAATACAAGAACCTAGTTTGGACTGATTTTTTCTATATGCTCTAGTTGCCAGAGTGAGAGAGGGGCAGAGGGACAGAATGGATAGTCTAGTCTAGTCTAGAATATATATATATATACTCAATGGGATCGGAGATGTCACACTTCACACTTCATGACAATATTAAAATACCCTCTAAACGGGTAAAGAGAGCAAAAGGCATATAATCTATTGCTTTCTCGAAAATAAAACAATATTAATATTGTTCAAGAGTCAAGCTAGAAAAACCTTTCGCTGTTCCAGATTTTAAAAACCCAATTGGAACGTCAAGTTGTGACGTTGATGAACTGATTCCTGTACGGGGCGTGACACATGCTGCCCACAAAAGGCTGTTCGAGTGAGCACACACACACACATACACACACACACACGCACACGCACACACATGCATATGGACACATACATGCATGTGCGTGCGTCGTTTGGCGTTTGCTTTCATATAAATCAAGTTAAAAATGAGTTGAGCGACCCTCTTCAAAATATTTAATACCGCAACTGACCCCTGTCCAACACTGGCCCGTAAAGTTGGGTAGGCAACGGCTGCGAATGTGTGCGAGAGGGCGACGGACAGCGGGCAGCGGGCAGCGGACAACATGGAGGACGCACGGCGAGTAGTTAAGCTGGAAATCGTTTCGGGAAATGTGACAACTGCGAGTACAACAGCGGGGCAACAGCGGGGCAACAGCGAGCATGGAACGAGGCAGTGGCAAAGGTTACGCGCGCGTTCAGTTCGTGCCCATCCTCAAATTCAATTTGCGGCAACCGCGCGACGCTCGGCTTTGGGTCAGTAGCTGTCGACGCAGGCGCAACAGCAACAACAACAACAACGACAACGACAATTTTCTGTTGTGTTTTTTTTTTCGTACATTTCGAGTATGATTTATGGGCCAAAAGCAATTGCAGTTGATTAATCGGCGGCAAACAATTTGGGCCGGCACACACACACACACACACACACACGATTTAATCCTTAACAAGCTCATATCAAATATACATACATTTGCACTTAATAAATAACTAGAAAAATACAACAACAAAAAACATACCTTAAGTTGCGCTCCCACGCGCGCAAATAGCTATTGGATTAACGGCACTAGCGTGCGCTCTCGCTCTAGCGCATTGTTATCTGCCTGCTGTGCAATGCAAGCGTACGTAACGTAAACGGCATTAAGAGCGTGAGAGCGAGAGACTGAGCGCGATCTCCAGCAACGTAGTTGTTGTTTTGGTTCTCTCTCACTTGTTACGCTCTCGCACCCACACATCTGCTGCGTGCTGCGCACGCTTTTGACATGCATCTGCATGTGTGTGCGTGTGTGTGTGTGTAATTACGCTTTGTGGTTTTAGATTTGCATTTCATATTTGTTTGCCATTCTTTTATATTGCTTATATTGTTGCTTTTTTCACTGCCTGCCATTTTAAACACTTGCACTTTATCGATTGCGCCATATTTAACGAAACACCATCGCGAAATAAACTTAAATGCGTTGACACACTTCATCGACTACTTGACACGACCGACGCGAACTAAACTTGAATGCGTTTCTTGTGACGTCACCGTCAACACCCTGTTGAGTACATAACATTTCGATTACTTATGTATGTATTCATGCACAAGTGTGTAATCGATATCATTAGTTTAACATATTGCATTCATTGCCGACGGCATGTTTACTTGTGCATTGCACTTATGATTATCTGGCAACGCGGCACGAGGTGTCTCTAGGTTAAAGAGAGACTTTGTAACCTTCAGTGTGCCACAGACACAACACACACACACACACACACACACACACACACACACACACCCGTAGACGCCCCCTTTGTGGCAGTTCTTGGGCCCAGACGCGACAAAGATTTTCCCTTTTTTTTTCATTCTTTATATTTTTTTTTTTTTTTTTTTCGCTCCTGCATATCAAATAAAAAAGCGCACAAAATTGTGGCAAGTGCAAAGTAAAAGTGCAAGCACGTGCATTATGCAAACACATGCATAAATACATATGCACACACACACACGCATACTAATATACGTATGCGTTCACATGTGTGTTTATCTGGAGAGTACAGTGTGTGTGTGTGTGTGTGTGTGTGTGTATTTATTTGTCTGTTGCTGCCAGAGACTCGGTGGCAATGACCTTAATGGACACACATACATACATACGCAGCATACGCATGTTAAGAAACATATATTTGGCATAGTGTTGGAAAATTTCCGCAAACACTAATTTGAATGCGCTGGCGCAGCCAACTTAACAATATTATTCAATTTAAGCCAATTGCATGCATAGAAAATGAAGGAAAAGACTCTTAAGAAAAGCTTCATTGTATTTAAGACTGATTTGTAATCTGGAAAATTAACGGAAACGATTGCATGCATCAAGCTCAGGGTCAAAGATCCTCGAGAGTTCCTTTCGCACCTTTCGCAAAAAACAAACCCTTCTTCCGGTCGGAAAATGCGGGTCAGAGATTTTGGGTGTCAAGTTACACGCGTTGGGCTACCAACTTATGTTCATATATGTTAACTATGTAAATTGTATACAGAAGTTGAAGGCAAGAATTTGGCCAGGACAGAGCTATCGTAGCCTACATTTACATAGCATGTTCTGAAAAAACCGGTCTCTGATTAACACAATATCATAACAAGTTGATTGAAATTTGCATTAAATAATAATATAAAATCAGTCCAGTTACTCAACCCGTTTTCTATCTTCTAGTTCAATCTGTAACTGGTCGACAATTGTTGTTTATTTGTGTACTTTTTATTTGTTCTTCATTTTAGGTTTTTTGTTTTGTTTGAATGCCTGCCTGCCTGCTGCTTTAATGCCGCAGACGCGCCCAAAAGCATGCAACAGTTCTGTCTCCGCATCTGAGCTCTGAATGCCGCCAGCTCCATTTCTTCACTTCTTCAATTTTGCGGCACTTGTTTTCATTGTGCCAAAAGCTTGCTTCGTGCTTAACTAAATCTGCAAAAAAAACAAAAAAAAAACACATAAAGGGAAAAGAAAAATTTAAATAAAAAGTCACAACGCATTCCATGCGCTCGTCAGGGCGGGTAGTTGGGGCAAGAGAGCGGTGGGGTATGTGGCAGGACTGGCTTTTCATTTTGAATGGGTGGCAACGCTGGCAGCCGGCGCCAGTGCGTGGCAGGTGTAAATGCAGCAAGTGCAAATGAGGCAAATTTCAAAGTCAAGTTTACACCACGCAGCAAATGTTTTGTGCTGCAGCAACACGCCTCCTTCCGCTCACCCACCTCTCGCTGTCACCCTCTCTTTCTCACTCCCACTCTTAGTGTCGAGCGTATTGCACACCTTGCATAAAGGCGTTCTCCATGCGCCGCAGTTGTGCATGCTAGAGTTAAAGATTCCTAGTCTCGGCTGGTTAAATTACAGCGCCTTTCATCTTGTTAACACCAAACGAAATTACAAAAAAAAAAAATAAAAATAAACAAAACCCAAAGCAAAATATAAGTATGTTGCTGTATTTCCTGCCGAACATAAGGTAAACCTCATTTCTGCAAATGGCCTCTCTATGCGATTCTCATTAATTCAAGTAAGCTACAGGTATCCTGCTACTACCTTGTCTTCTTGGCCGAGCTGTGGTGGGAATCTAACCTCTTTTAGTAAGCATGTATTTTCATAGTCATCTGCACGCAAATGATATTTATATAAAGTTGTTTATATGCATTATATACATGCATGTATGTATGTATGTATGTACCTAATATGCATGGTTATTGTAGGCATGTGTATATACATATGTATATGAACTTATGTTCTCTTGCACCAAACGTGCGCCGAGTTTATTTCTGCGCAGCTAATTTTAATAGTGCATAATTTGAAATGTTGCCCTCCTATGCGATTCTCATGAATTCAAGTAAGGCTGCAGGCTTGCCTGCTCTGATTGGATGTGTTTTATTATGATTGTTGTGCTGGCAGTCTAATAATATTGAACTCCCTCTCTCACTCTTATTCTTCCCCCCTCTCTCGCTCTCTCTCTCTATCACGCTCTTTATCTCTCTCTTTTGCTTTCTTTGTCAATTCGTGTCTCTTTTTCCCTCTCTTGCTCTGTCGGTAAGTGAATCTTTTTCTCTCTGTATCTCTCTGGCTTTATTTGTCTCTCTTGCTCTGTCGCTAAGTGTCTCCCTCTCTCTATCTCTCTGTCTTTCTCTCTCTCTCTCTCTCTCTCTCTCTATCTCTCTCTCTATTTTTCTGTGTCGCTCTATCTCTCCCTCTCGCTCTAAAATTCCTAAGAGCATGTGTAATATAAATTGGTTCTATATGTGTGACCTGTGCTGTGCTTGCTGCCGGCAAACGCGATGCGCTTTACATTTTTATTTTTTTCGTAACTGACTTTCCCACGCCTTTTATTACACAATATTGCCGCTCTCTCTTTCTTGTTCTCTCTCTCTCTCTCTCTCTCTCTCTCTCTCTCTCTTGCCTTGCCTTGCCTTGGCTTTTATTTAAATACATATGTTAGTATTTTATAGAAGGGGTTCTAAAAGGTTGGGCGGCCGCCTGAAAGGTAAAATATGAAAAAAAAAACTCCATTTGAAAAAAAAAAAATGCAAGAATTGTTCTAAATTTGTCGAGAGCAGGAGGCGGGGTCAAAAAGGCGACGCGTCGAAAAGTGAAAGTGCAGAAATAAAGAAAGCGCCAACCGATGTAGTTGGCAGCACAAAGCAGATGCGCGATAACAAAGGAAACGAGGGCAATACCAGGAGAAGAAGAAGAAGAAGAGGCAGACATGCAATTCTGTAACTGTCAATGCTCGCAAAGAAAACGGGAACAGAAAACGGAATTGATAAGAATCCGCGCAGCATTTCAAAAGCAACTGTAAATTGATGTGTGTCTATGCACATGCATGCATGCATGCATGCATGCATACATATATACATGCGTAATCTCTGCAGCATACATGCATACATATATGCCATATACAATACGATTCCCACTCCCCCCTCCCCCGCCCCCTCTTCTACTTCCTTAGCGTGCATGTGTTGCTGTTTGTAATTGACGCAAAACAAAAAGTAGAAACTTTCATTTGCCTTTTTGTAATTAGTTAACAGTTTTGCCCGTTGAACGGGCGGCAACTCGCACATGTGTGTGTGTGTGTGTGTGTATACTAGTATGCTTCAGTACATAGCATTTCCGTGTGTGTGAACGCTGTCACATGCATGCGCGAGTCCTGTGAGTCCTGCAATACATAAGCGGCCGCACACACACACACACACACATGTGCTCGTGCTCTCACGCACACACACTTGAGCAGCCGTTACAAATCAGCCGTGTGTGTGTATATGTGTGCGAGAGTCCAAAACTCTCGTATCACATATGTGTGTGTGTGTGTGTGTGTGTAGGGGTGAAACGAGTTCCGTGCGGATAAACATACATAGCACACAAACGTGGGCGTGGCCAAAATGTCCCGTATGATGCGCCTGCATGCCTACTCCATGTTTGTGCGAGCGAGACGCAAACACTCGCTTTAAATAACTCTCCCGAAATGCGTGTGACGATTGTTATGTGTGTGTGTGTGTGTGTGTGTGCATGTGTGTGAGTGTGTGCTTATGTTGGTGTGCTGGTCGCTTAACTGCTTCAATGTTATGCTATATGCAGGCAGAGTTCACCAGAGCGGGACAGGCTACTCGACAAGGACAACAGCCAGCCGTGATATGTGCCGTGATTTGATTTTATTGTGAATCTATCAAATGTCCGGATATTGCAGCACATATGAATATAAAGGCACGCAGAAACAAAGATAATAAATAAATTATTCTAGAATATATATCTATATGGGCCTGCCCATAAATAAAGTTTACAATATTTCGGCTTACACACATTTCCTAAAAATATAACAAATTGCCTTCTAATTAATTTAACTGTTTGAATAACCTAAATGGTGTCTGTTTAACATTCAAAATATCTTTTCCTATTCGGGGCGTCTTCAACATATTTGAAATATCGCGCCAAATAGCGGAACAAGTTTCCATATATTAACGCTTGACAGTTGCATGCAAATAATACCAGTAGAGGGCGCCCAAATAGCATCGCACACTAACAGACTTCATTTGGCGTTAACAGTGCGTAACGGCTATTGAGACTCATTATTGCGTTAACGGCTTTGGCCTTGAACCATCTGTATGTTATGTTAGAGAACTTAACTGGTTTTGTAAAATAACGATTTTGTTTAGGTTAGTAAAGGCGTCAAATTAGTCCAGCTTTTTGCCAAAAAAGTGTAGTTCCGCACAAGAAATAAATTTCGATTAATGAAAAGTATATATATTGCTTAACAAAGTAAATAACTAAAAAATTCGACAATTTGTGCTAACAGTGCCAAAATGAGTCAAGTTTTGACGTTATTTAATTTCAGTATTTGTATCTTATTCAATTTCCTAAAGCTCTATTCTTAAAATATAATTAAATTGGTTCAAAACTAATTGCATTTGGAAAGATATAGTTGACAAGTAATACATTGCTCTGCGTTTTTTTATGTATAACATTTCCTTTTAACTGTATGTTTTTGAATTGAATTTTAAATGTGTAGATGCCTATCGAACTATCGAGTAACGTACCTCACCCCTAGTTCTTGTCGTTATGGGAACTGAACGGCATATTTCAAAATGACCAGCATGTGTCCCAACACGCGCAATGTTGAGCAACGTGTGCCTAATAATTAATTCCATATACATCTCACTTTGGTCTCCTCAATTCGTTTTGGTAATGCATATAAAACTTATATGCATATATAATTATGCATAAGCCGATAAGCTGCTTTCGATATGTGTTAATTTTAAAGTATCGATGGAAGCCAAAGCAAAAATTGGTATATAACGACCATTTTTTTGGTTAGAATCTGGTAAATTATATTTAAAAAATGATATTACAAAAAAAGACTTTCGAAAGCGAGCTAAAACTCGTAATACATAACAATTTTAAATTGCGCGATATGCTGCCACAGCGCTGCACCCTATCGATAAGAGCATACTATCGCAGCAATCGATAGTATCGACATTGTCGTACAGCTCTAATGTGCGGACGCGTTTCGAGCAATAGCAACAGCAACGACGACAGCGCCACAACAACACAACACAATCAATTTGTGTGAAAGTGTGCAAAAATATTACAAAATAATAAATTCGAAGACAAGCAAGAATTTGGCCGATAAACGAGAACGCCAATATAAAAGAGCGACAAGAAATATACAAATATCTTTTGTTATTGTTCGAGTTTATTTTTTTTTTTGTTATTATATTGTGTTGTAGTTGGCTGCACGGACAGCAGCAGCAGCAGCAGTAACAGTAGAAAGACGCAGAAAAAAAAAAAAAAGTGAAATCGATTAATAAGCGCAATAGGCAGCAGCAGCAGCAACAACAAGACTTGGTGAAAAAACAAATAAAATAAAAGTAAAACACACGGGCAAAGGAAAAAATCGCAACAGAGATTTAATTTTAATGTCGCAGTTAATTTGTGTGCTAGCAAGAAGCAGCAGCAACGGCAGAAACAACAACGACAACAGCACCAGCAGCACCAGCACCATCAGCAGCAGCAGCAGCTGAGGCAAAAGCTGAGCGCAAAACAGAAAACAGAAAACAAAAAACGAAAACGAACAGCAAAGAAAAGCAAAGAACGTACGACGCAGCCGTCGCAGCCAGCTTCTCTGCTGTGTGCGTGTGTGTGTGTGTGAGAGTGAGTGTGCGTGGGTGCGAGCGAGGCAGCAGCAGCAATAGCAACAGCAACAACAACAACAACAAAGCAGAACAGCAACGACGACGTCGACAACAACCTCAGCGACGGGCTGTTGTCGTTCTTTTTATTTTCGTTGGTTTTTTTTTTTTTTTTTTTTTTTTTTTGACACAATTCAAACAAACTCGAGCGTAAGCGGGAGCTTTGCACTTAAAGTTTGTTTCTAAGCTCGACTTTGTGTTTGTTGCTGCAGCGCTTGCGTGTGTTTGTGTGTGTGTGGGAGTGGGCGTCAACAGTTACTGGCAGTGGGCAGCTCCAAGAAGAAGGCAAGACGCAGTTTTTTATTTTTTGTTGCCAGCCAAAAACAAAATCAATTTACTGTTGCTGCTGCTGCCGACTGCAACAACAACTACAAGAAGAAGAAGAAGAAGAACGAATAGCCCAAACACACAACAAAGCAAAGAAAAGGAGAACACCAACAAGAAGAAGCAGCAAAGCAATAGCAACGACAACAGCTGAAAACATATGATTTTTGTTTTTGTGCGCCTCGCGCTGCCCCTTCTACCGTATCCTCAGTCATAAACACAACAACAGCAGCAGAAAAAAACAGAAAGAAAAGGTTAACAGTGGAACGTACGGAACTGGAACGAGCAAGCTTGCGTTGTTGTTGCTGCTGCTGTTGCTCCTGCTGCTGCTGCTGCTGCTATTGCTGCTGCTGCTGCCGCCGCCGCCGCTGTTCACCAATTCCCAACTGCTTCTTGACGTCGTAACAACAACGCCAGCAGAAGCAGCAGCGTCAAGTGGTAAGTTGTTGTTGCTATTGTGCTTCATATTTCCTCTTCTTTTTGCTTCTTTTTTTTTTTTTTTTTGGCTACTTTTAACTGCGTTTCGTTGTTTTGACGCGCAAAACAAGCTCACGCACATATATAAAAAAAAAAAAACAAAAAACAAATGTAAATTTTTATACAATTCACTTTTGTTTGTTTATTTGGTGCTCACTTTTCGAAACTATTTCAAGTACACACACGTACATATATATATGTTTATTTGTGTATGTGTGGCCAAGCTATGAAGGCGTATATGTAAGTAATTCGTGTGCTTGTGTGCGTGTGCAAATGACATGCATGCATGTGTGTGTGTGTGTGTGTGTGTGTGCATTACACTATTTCATAATCTATTTGTCACATTTATGCATTATTCTCTTGTAAACGAAGGCAGTGAATATTTTTGTTTTTGTTCAAGTTGTTCTTTTTTGTCTAAATTCGTTTTGCTTTCAAAAAATTCGTTCGCACAGATACACACGCACACACACACACACACACACACACACACACACACACACACGCACACATACAAGAGAAGCAAGCACTGCGCGTTAGACAGACAGACAACGGACAGCGGAGCGAAACGCAGCCAAATGAAACGAACTGATAGTGAAACACTTTGCCACAGTGGTACGCACATATGCATATATGTACACGCGTTAACTTTTTGTTGGTTCTTATTATTTTTTGAATTTCTGTGATAAGTAACGCAAATACATTTAATATTTTACTAGTGTGTGTTCAGTTAGTTGAGTCATTGTTTGTCTGTAGAAATTTTCGTCATTTTGCTCTCTTTAATGTTTAGATGTCCGATCAAACCGAGATTAATTAACTGTTACACATTTGAATTAATTGTTTATTTCATTTGCCATTTCTTGACGCATTTGTGTCACTGTGCACAATGCTCTTCGCGCTCAGAGAGAGAGGGAGAGAGAGACGACCACTAAAAGCGAAAGAGCATAAACACAACAGCTCGTTGCAGCTGACCGTTTGTTCGGTTTGTTGTTGCTTGATTCTGGTTTGTATTTGTTTTTGTTTTTGTCTTTCTGCGTCTTGCTCTTGTTTTACTTATTTTGATAATTGCTTTCGTGCTGTCTTTTGGGGTCTTTGTTCCAAAATTATTAGCAGCAGCGACTAAAAATAAAGCAATTGATGCAGAAGCAGCAGAATGACAGCGACACAGCAAATGCATTGCAAATGACATATTTATTTATATATTTTCGAATTTATTTATACAAATCGCGCATGTCAACGTTGATGGCATTTGATTTATTTATGCTGTTTTCTATTTTATTTTATATTAAAAAGTGCTGGCTCAAACACTCCCGCTCGCTCTCTCCGCTCTCCCTCGCACTTGCCTGCAAAATGTTTGCCAAAAGTATTTGAATGAGTGCGTGCAAATGCAACAGCAATACAATACACTCAATTTTGCCACTACGTGCACGAGTATTAGTATTGCTGTACATGTATTAGTGCACGTCTGGCTAGCAAAGCTTTAGAGTGCCCGGCCGCTTACGTTCGTGTGCTGCATACGTGTTCTGTGGAGCAACAGAACCACTTGCTATTTGTGGGGCGGGGGCTGGGTTTAACCGGAGCCAAGTTGTTTCTATGACCACGTCGCTTGTAATGAAAATATTCCATTAGTTGCTTAAATGTCTTGATATGCACTTACTTGCATACAAAATCGTACGTTTATCGATTGAAAGCTTTGTCTTTATGCACTTGTTGCTCTCGTTTGGGTTTTCCTTATTACTGTATATCATTAAAATTCTGCGTAATTATCGCGTGACGCTCTTAACTTCGATTAACAGTAATCATTAATTGCGTTATACAAACTGGCCTCACTGTTATACTATGCTACACACTTCTTAAATCCAATAAATTGGTCTGTAAAGTCTAACGGTTCTGCATTTGAACTGGTCACACTGCGTTATTTGTTAACAATCAATTGCGTACCTAATATTGTTGGTTTTTCTTTGAAATTATTATACAATTTCTTTTAGAACGGATGCATACATACATATATATGTACATATATATATATTGATTTTAACATTACAAATTCTTATGACGCACTCAGAATCCCCTTTCCAGCAGACAAGTGTTCATATAATGAACATCAACTTGCATGCTGTTCTACCAGGGCTGTTCCCTCTCTCTCTCTCTCTCGCTCTCTCTCTCTTCCGCTCTCTCTGTTGCTTGCACAGAATTGCGTGCGCTTTTGAAATGCTGTGTGCATGTGTATTTATAGTAACACCTGTTCACAAAAGTATGCTTGTATGTGTGTTGAGCTTTGTTGTGATTTGCTTTGTCTACCAAAAGCGCTTTGCGTAGATTTTGTCAAGTGGCAATGAACAGCATAAACAATAACACACACACACGCATGCATATGAGCTTTTTTTCAGTGTGTCTTTGGTTTTGCGTGCACAAAGAAATCGAACAAACGAACGAACGAACGAACGGAACCATTGGCTCAGATTGCTGACTAGCTGGCTTATTAACATTGACACACCAATTTACACACACACACACACACACACGCCTCACTCTTCACTCACACAGTTAAAGTTTGCACACAACGAACGACGTTTGTTGTTTTTTTTTTTTTCTGCCTATGGCAAAACAAAGACGAAATGCGTCGCGTTCGTTGTAGGTGTGTGTGTGGGGAGGGGGGAATTTGTTGAGCTGTGAGAAGGGGTAACTGTTGCTGCTGACTGCAGGCACACACACATTCATACATATGTATATATGTACCTCTGTATGTGTAGCTGTGACATTGCATTCTGTTGCTGCTGTTGTTGTTGTTGTTGTTGTTGTTTTTGCTAGTGCTGCGCGTGTGCGCAAGTCAATTAAGGAATGCAACGTTTTGCGCCCTGTGCTAGTCTTCCCGCTGACTTCTCTCTCTCTCTCACACTCTAGCTCTCTTGCTCTCTGTTATTCTCTCTCTATCACTATGCTGCTAAGAACACAAAGAGCCCCAATACACACAAACATATGTATTTAAACTAAAATCAACTCTGCTGTGCGTCATGCGCTTTGTGAAATAGTTTTTGGCTTAACCTTAACCCCTATTGTTGTGCGCAATAGTCTTTCCCTTAAATGTCGAGCGTTGCATACCCTATGCAAAATTTTTTAAATGTGTGTTGTCTGGTTTTTATTTTGTGCAATATTATCAGCCAATTGTTTGTAATTGTTTGTTTTGCCACATTTTTCAAAAACACACAAAAGTAAAAATACAAGCAAACCTTAAAGAATTCAAATTCAATAAAATATCTATCATATGAATGAATTGCTCTCAATTTTGTTACGCCTTATTAGTGGGCCCTTAAGCCTCACATTACATACATGATATTTTTGCCAATGTATTTATTAGTTATGTGCATATATTATTTCACAATGTTGATCTTTGGCTTGTCGGATTGGCTCATGCTATACATTATTACAAATACTCGTCATGTTCGCTTATCAAACAATCTGTTTTTAAATGTGTGTGTAGGCTACAGTACCAAGCTTTCAATAGGATAGGCACTTACAATTTGAGTGGTATGTGTGTGCATCAAAATGGGTTTAAATAATTTCCATGCAATTGAAATGAGAAACAACGAAACTTTCTTTCGAATCGATTAGCTAGGCAAAACGATAAGTGGCCAGCAAATCAGCTTAACTGACTGCTAAATGGCCAACAACAATTTTGTCAAATTATAAACAATTAACAAGCACTTAACTGTTTAACCTTTACAAGCTCTGTTTCGGGTCTGTGTGTCAAACATGCACATGGGCCGCATATGGGTTAACGTTACTGTCGCTATTATAGCATTCGTTGCGGACAGCTGTTGCTCGCGCCATCTCGCTCGCACTCGCTGGTCACACTGAAAGCTTGGCTTTGCGTTTTGTTGTGTGCTTTTTTTTTTTTGTTTTTGTTGTTGCCGTTGCTTTTGCTTTGTGCTTGTTTCGTTTCGTTTGTTGCTGTTGCTGTTGCTTCTGCTGGTGGTGATAAATACCGCTTGCTTAATGTACGCACACACACACACACACATGCATGCGTGTATATATTTTACAGTAATAACAAACGCAAATCACGTTACAAAAATTTGTTTACCAATTTGCTTTGATTGACGTTATTATGTTATTGTTTTTTACTTTTGCAATTTGCTATCTACTTTGTTTATTATAAAACTAATACATTTGTGTCCAATTGCGTGGTGCACACTGTTCTTGTTGTATGTATGTATGTATATATGCGTGTGTATGGGTTTTATTGCACTTAATTTACGCCCCATGGAATTGCTGTCGCCCCCTCGCATGTGTGTGCAAAAAGCAAAAAAAAAAACACGTAATGCGCTAATAAAACTTAAAAGGGGTGCGGGCTGTAGAGCAAGGCGGCGGGTGAGGCAGCGAGGAGAAGGGCCTGGCACGAGTGTGCAAAGATTAAAAGCATTTGATTGAGACAAAGCAAAAGCCATATACGCAACAGAATGGAATTGAAATGCTGGCGAGAGCGAGTGCACCAGTGTGTGTGTGTGTGTGTTTCGTTAATCTAAGAGAGAGAGCGCGAGAGAGAGAGAGCGCGTGCTTACAGTTTGTTTATTTATTTTACTTTCTATTTTGCAGTTGACAACAGCTGGCAGTAAGACACATACACGAAGGCTGCAGCGGCAGCGCAGTTGCCACACAGACAGACAGCCTGTCACCGTCATCATCTCCCATCTCCCATCTCCCATCCTCCAGCGGAGCGAGCGAACAAGCGGGCAACTTAACGAAACACACTCTTCACTCACTCAAGCACTTTGATTGAACGAAGCAGCTGAGACGGGCGGCAGCCGTCGCTCCTGTGCTTAGGGCAAGGCGATCTCTCGTATAATATGTCCGCGGACTCGCCACGCCGCCATCACAGCCATCATCATCATCATCATCATCATTCTGTTGGCGTTGGAGGGGTCGGCGGTATCGGTGTGCGCGGCGGCATGGCCATGCCGGCAATTGTCCCGCCGCAGGCAGTCAGCGATCGCTCCATATTGGACTCGGCCATTGGGTTTATCAATGATGTGACGCTGGTGCATCAGCCGCAGCAGGATCCCAAGGATACCATTACCTGGGCCCGTTTCGAGACGAGCGCCGATGTGAGTGATCCGCGCTTTGGCGACGACTGGGAACTTGAGGGCAATGCGGCACCCCCCTTGCTGCTCATCCTCGGCTACGGCCTGGGCGTGCAGGTGTGGGCCATACCCGCCAACGGTGAAGCCGTCGAGGTGTTATCCTGGCGACATGGCGTTGTCACCGCACTTCGTGTTCTGCCCACCCCGGCAACGGCAACCACCGCACTCGATGACAATGGACGCGCCGATGAGCCAGTCGATGCCTTTGCCGAGAAGCGGCCACTTGTGGCTCTCGTCGATGGCGGCAGCGCTGCAGCCAGCAGTCTACTTGGCGGCGGCGGAGGTCACATCTCTGGCGGCGGCGGCTCGGGCTCGGCGGGCGGTGGCATTGGCAATATCTCGGCCGGCTCCTCGCACTTCAGTGCCGTCAATTTCGTTTCACTGAAGACAGGCGCCCAGGTGAAGACCATCAAATTTAAGAATGCCGTACTGGACATTCAAGCCAATCGCTCGGCGGTGGTCATTAGCTTCCACGAGCGTCTGGCGGTGTTTGATGCCCGCACACTGGAGGATCGCCTAACCATAACCACCTGCTTTCCCAGTCCAGGGTGAGTAAAGCCCAATTAAACATGTTGTATATTCTAGTAAGCTTTAAGCTTGATTCATTCTACAGCTAAAAGTTGAACTTAAGCTTTTTATCCATTGATCGAGATTAATTCTAGTTATTTTAAAACTTTCAACAGCTTTGCAAGCACATGCGAGCTTTAAGTTCAAATGTGCTTAAAGCTCAGCCAAAAAGTTGCTTGTGCCCCAACTGTAAGATGTTCTTTATATGCTCAAAGCTGCACTAAATTGTTAAAACTAGTTTTAAGCGCTTTTCATTTGAAAATAATTAAATCGATTCGTTTTATCTCAACAATCCGCAGCATCAACCCAAATCCCATAGCGCTCGGTCCACGCTGGCTGGCGTACGCGGAGCACAAGCTGCTCCACTCGAAGCGCAGCGGGGGCGGCTGCGATGGCGAGGGTGTGCCCAGCTATACGGCAACGGTGCTAAATGCAGCCAAATCCTTTGGCAAGGGTCTGCGCGAGCTGGGCGAACAGGTCGCCGCCGGCCTGACCGGCACAAGTGCCGGCAGCGGCAACAGCTCCAAGAGCAGCAGCTTCGACTCGGCGACGGGCGGCGCCGATGCCAAGCAATCGGGCGTGGTGACCATTATAGATGTGAAGGTGAGTGTCAGACTTGGCAGTAGCTAATGTGAATATGTGTGTGTATGCTAATGGCTTGTTTATCGGCAGCATCCCATTAAGGATTATAGTCCGACGACGGGCGCGCCGCTCGGCTTGACGGGCGCCCATGCGGGCGGGGATCCAATTGTTGCCCATTTTGTGGCGCACAGCGAGGCGCTGGTGGCCATGGAATTCGATAGCTCTGGCATGCTGCTGCTCACAGCGGATCGTCGTGGCCACGATTTCCATGTGTTTCGCATACAGCCGCATCCGGTCGGCTCCAGTTTGGCTGCGGTGCATCATCTGTATGTGCTGCATCGCGGCGATACCAGCGCCAAGGTGCAGCATATTGCCTTCTCGCTGGACTCACGCTGGGCGGCCGTCTCGACGCTTCGCGGCACCACCCATGTCTTCCCCATAACGCCCTACGGCGGCGCCATGGGCGTTCGCACCCACACCTCACTGCATGTGGTCAACAAGCTGTCGCGTTTCCATCGCAGCGCCGGACTGGGCGCCGACGGACGCTCCAGCTCGCCCATATCGCACTCGGAAAGCACCACGTTTGTGCAGTCGCTGCAGCCGTATCATAATCCCACATTGCCGCCATTTCCACGACCCGCTGTCGTCCAGCCGCTGGCACAGCTGCGTCAACCGTTTGTCCTGGGCTCGCCGCCGGGCAGCGCCACGCTGGGCGGCGTCAGCGGCGGATCGGGCAGCAGCAGCAGCTCGGGCGGCGGCGTTGGCTCGCATCAGCGTCAGCGTTTATCATCGCTATCGGATGATTGCGGTAAACCGTTGAGCGTTTGCGCCACCTTCGCCAAGCCGCGCTCCTGGCTGCTGGAGCCGCCGACGGCGACGCGTGAGGCGCCGCATCGCGTCCAGCGCAAGGCTGTCGATTCGCTCTTCGTTATGGCCGGCCATGGAGCGCTCATACAATACGATCTGGACACGAAGTTAGCCTCAAGTGAGTTGGCATCAATATTTAGCTTCAGCTTGTGGACTAACATGATTTCCTCTGCCTTACAGATGTTGCCAAAGAGAAGATTTGTGATGATACGCCCATTGAGTTGGAGGTGGAGGCCAAGGCGCAGTGGAATCTGGGCCGACGCAAGGATGGATCTCAAGAAATTATACCACCGTTAGCGCTGGACAATTGGCTGATCAAAGATCGACATGCCAGCCTGCTGATGGACAGCGCCCATCAGTTCGATGAGCCCGACGAGCGCGCCGAGAGCTGGTTGGCCCAGGTCGAGATTATCACGCACGCCGGTCCACATCGCCGTCTCTGGATGGGGCCGCAGTTTGTTTTCAAGAACTATAATACGCCCAGCGGGTAAGAAAGGAGCGACTGTCAAACGATGAACATATAAATACTCCCACCTGGTGGACCCTTGTCAGCCATACGATCTAATATTCTGATTGGGATTGGGATTGTCAAAGTATATATTGAACAGACAAAGACTCTTTGTCCTTCTTCAAGGGCCGTTCTTTGCGTCAATTGTTCCCATGTCAGCTTCAGGATATAGTGATCCGAGCTGTTTGATATTTGCATACGCGTTGCGTGTAACCAAAATGAAGCTCAGCTCTCTATATTTGGCAAGTTTGCTATGTGGGAATTCGTAAACCTCAGACAAAGTAAGAAACTGCCAGGGCTGGGCGGCTGCTCTGGCAATCAAGTCTACAAACAACCTACGAGCTTGAAATTGGTCGAGAATTTTAACGCATTATGAAAGACAGCAAAACAAGCTAAAACAAAGTTTATCTTCTTGTTTTATTTGCTTCTCTTGAGCAAATAAAAGACAAGCCTTTATTCACTCTCCAACTAATTGTCCTATTTTTACTTTGCAGCTCCAATTTGAACCACGTGGATGCGGAGGCCGTGGAAATAGGCGTTACCAAGACGACAAGCACAACGTTGCCGTCAACGGCAGCCGCTCCATCGGCCGCCTCGTTGACGCCCAGCGGTGCCATCATTGCCGCCGTGGAGCGTTCCAGTCCATTGAACATGCCGCTGGGCGCAGCGGCCGGGCTTGGTGCCACTGTCGCCACCACTGGACGTGCCGGTGTGCCCGTGCTCATCGAATCCGGTTCATATAGTGAGTGGCTGTCAATTGATTGCGCTGCGCATTTATCTAAAATTGTATTTGCTTTGTTCCCTGTTGCTGCTGCTGCTGCTGCAGGCAGCATTGAGCAGAGCCCCAAACTGATGGATCGCTTTCGTCACGGGCACTTGGACTCGGACTATGGGCATGGCGATATGCGCCTAAAGGAGGATCTGGCCGATGCCATGCGAGAGTCGCCCTCAACGGCGGCAGCACGTCGCGAGATCGGTAAGTCCCTATAGAGGAGCAGTACCCAAACGGATTCAATGCCATATTTATGGTTCGATTGAATCCGTGTTCTGTGCCCATAAAAATACCCTCAATATATAACCAAAACTGAATGTATCTGGAGAATTGATTGTGACAGTGCTCAAAAGTGATTCAATTAAATGCTTAGAGTAATTATCGAGTCCGGAATTTCATTCTTTTTGTTTTAAAATGAGTCGAACTTAAATCTTGTATATTCGATATAAACACAAAAATATCAATAGAAGATCTCATGCAAAATTAACAATTAGATAATTGATTGAAGAATAATTAAAAGTAATTAAATAAATAAAAAATAACAAATTTCAAGTGTTGCATAACGAATGTTTGCAACATAAAATCACTTTTTAACACTATTATCAATCGATTAATGCAAATTCGTTAACCTTTGCCGTTCGATAACTTTTTAAACAGTTCTTAAGTTTGTCGTTTGATAAATATCTTTAAGTTCGGTGCCTGTTTTCACGTTTGTTTCTGCTTTGATTAGAT